TTTTATTGATCTATGGTGCATTCATTTTGATTCTTTACACGTGTAATGATGTCCAGTGACTTGTTTGCATTATTTATGCATAATTTTATTTATTTGTAAGACTTTTTTATGACTAAATTTGGTAATGGGAGAGTAAAAATATTTTTAAAACGTACACCGTTCAAACTAGGCTGCTTATGTTGAAGTGTTTGGGATGTGGCTTTTAATGATGAGACCTTTTTTGTAATCAGGCTCTCAAAAAGTATATAACAATTTGGATATAGAGTTATCGGCCAACATATCAGTTATCGGCTTTCAAAAATAAAGAATAATCGGTTATCGGTATCGGCCAAAATTTTCATATCGGTGCATCCCTAATAGTTGGTATCTGTTTTAGATTTTCTTTATGCTCTTCACTCAGATTATGTTTATTTTGTTATTGACTTTATCAAGATAAAGCAGCTGCTGGGACAGTGTTCTCTATATTTTTCAATCATGTTATCTGAGATGTGTAAGCAGCTGGTTTGGCCTCTGGAAAGGCACTGACACTTGCAGTATCTGGCTTGATTGAGTTTCAGCTTTATGGACACTTTACACAGACTGCCATGACACATTTCTGCAATGACCAACAAAATTAAATCTAGCAAAGAAGTTGGCATCTTTCTCTCTTTGGATTGCCATGATCCTTCTCGGTAATCCACTTCTTTTGGAAAGTCATGGAAACACAATAGTGGACTTTTTTTATTTGCTGTTGGTAACCAGAGCTAAATTTAAATTAGATGGGTGTTTTTGTGTGTGTGTGGTGTCATAATGCAGGATACAGGCTAAATTATTTCATTTCCTCATCTCTTCTCTCTCTTTTTTCCCTTTGTTCAACTTTCAGAATGTAAAATATGACAATCATTTCGCCGTGCGTGATGAATAAATATATAGTTACTCATAGCAATCTATCTGTAATTAACTGTTGTGCATGCTCATCTTTTTTTTTTTTGCAAACATGTTGAGCCATCTTACTATGCTACACCGAAAGTTGTTTAGTGGTGAATTGAACAAAGTCTCATGAGTGTCCCGTTTGATATGGGTAAAGCTATATTCATATGGAGAAAAAAAGAAGAAAAACAGAAAGAAATGGTAATATAAACAGATTTTGAAATGACAGTGGCTGTGCTGTTACTTTCAAGTGCTGCATTTATTTTGGGGGGAAAAAACTAATAATGTGAGATTGATTTGTAACTTTGTAACTTTCTTTTTTCTTACAATTACCATTTTTTATATTTTTATATCAAATAAAATCACCTCAAAACAAAGAATCACATTTTCTGGAACTTTTTTTCTGCACCCACATTTATCACTAATTAGATTTAGCCTCAATACCAGAATCCTCTTAAAGGGTGATTAATTAATCTGTGTTACAGTAGAGTTTTTATGTATGCTGTATTGGTCTCTCATGGATATATATATATAATTTTTGTATTGTAATAACATTTTGTAATTTGTTAATGTTACATGAACAGCCCACACATATGACACCATTATACCTAGAAATATGGCACATAGTCTTAGAGTTTGTACTTGACTAACTGGGGCCCAGGTCAGGAAGCAGACAGACTGGCTAAACCGACCGTCTGCTAGCCGCTTCATGTCACAGAAATCAGTTAACTCTCAGCACATAGAGACTCTTTCACCTAGATATCACACTATAGAGATTGTGTCTGTTCCCCGAACTAGAAAATACAAAAAACGTCCAAACCAATTTAAGAGTAACAATTTAATTGATGTTCAACAAATAAAAAACAGATATAATAAAGATAAACAAATGATAAAGCTTGGCTTAATGAATATTAGATCCCTTTCTATGAAAATGCTTTTTGTAAATGATATGATCACAGATCATAACCTAGATGTGCTCTGTTTAACAGAAACCTGGCTAAAACCAGATGATTCTATTACTTTAAATGAGTCTACCCCCCAAGATTACTGTTATAAGCATGAGCTGCGTCCAAAAGGTAGGTGTTGCTACAATTTATAGTAATATTTTCAGTATTTCTCAGAAGTCTGGTTTCAAGGATAATTTGTTTGAAGTAATGGTACTTCATATAACATTATCCAGAGAAACAAGTGTTAATGATAAATCCCCTGTGACATTTTTACTGGCTACTGTATACAGGCCATCATGCAAACTTTATTAAATAATTTGGTGATTTGGTGAGTTGAGTGCTGGCTGCAGATAAAGTCTTAATTGTTGGTGATTTTAATATCCATGTTGATATTGGAAAAAGTTGCATTGGGATCAGCATTCATAGACATTCTGAACTCCATTGGGGTTAGACAACACGTGTCAGGACCTACTCATTGTCATAATCATACTTTGGATTTAATACTGTCACATGGAATTTATATTAATGGCGATGAAATTCTGCAGTGGAGTGATGATATCTCGGATCATTATCTAGTCTCGTGTCTAGTCCATATAGCTAAAGCTACAAATTCAAATCCTTGTTACAAATATGGTAGAACCATCACTTCTACCAAAAAAAAGACTGCTTTGTTAATAATCTTCCTGACTTGTCTCAATTCCTCAGCAAATCCAATAGCTCAGAAAAACTTGTAAAATAAACTATTAACTCTTTTCTAACACTTTAGATTCGGTTGCTCCTTTACACTTAAAGAAGATTAAGGAAAACAGTCCAACACCGTGGTATAACGAGCACACTCACGCTTTAAAGAGGGCAGCCCGGAGAATGGAGCGCAGCTGAAAGAAAAAAAAACTAGAGGTATTGCATATTGCATGGCGGGAAAGCACTTCTGCTTATAGAAAAGCTCTAAAAACTGCTAGGTCTGCTTACTTTTTGTCTCTCTTAGAAGAAAACAAACACAACCCCAGTCGTTTATTCAATACAGTGCTAAATTAACGAAAAATAAACTATTAACAGATGCAGACATTCCCCAACAGCACAGCAGTAATGACTTTATGAACTTCTTTACTTCCAAGATCGATACTATTAAAAATTTTAATTCTAACCATGCAGTCATTGGCCACAGTATCGCATCAGATACAGATCCCCCGAGGAACAATTCCACTCATTCTCTTCTATAGTAGAGGAAGAATTGTATAAACTTGTCAAATCATCAAAATATATGTCCCCAAAACCTTCAAATTGGCTGTTATTAAGCCTCTCATTAAAAAAAAATACACAACTTGATCCTAGAGAATTAGTTAATTATAGACCGATCTCAAAGCTTCCTTTTCTGTCAAAAATACTCTCTAAATCTCTTAGAGAGAAACGGTATCTGTGAGGATTTCCAGTCAGGACGTATCATAGTACTGAGACTGCTCTCATCAGAGTTCCTGGATCTTAGCACTGTGTTTGACACTATCGACCACAACATTCTTTTGAGTAGACTCCAAAATTATGTTGGCATTAGTGGAATTGCATTGTCATGGTTCAAATATTGGCATTAGTG